AAGAGGAGTAAGCCAAGCAATGTTGGGATACGCTTTCGGTTATGAAATTGTATACATGTTCTCTGGCAACACGCATCACTCGATACGCCCGCTCTAGAGAAAAAAATATGATGCTGGTACATTATACGCCTAAATAAGAAGCGAAGAGTTATCGGTCACGGCTTACACATACGTGTATCCTAGCTTTATACATCATATTTTTTTTTATTATCATTGATCTTTTAAAATCCAACTATTGTGTGCACTGTCAAAACCCAACCATTTAACGAAAATTTCATTTTTTCGTCGGCGTAAAATTTTCTTAACAAAGTTAGTATTAGTATACTTTGTTTTCTGCACTTCTTGATCGTTAAAGCCACCAGAAATTGGCTGCTGCTGATAATCCTCCCAATGGTAAGTGAATGGCTTTGTTGGTGCTACTCGGGTAACAGTAAAAATTTCTGTTGACCAATTAGGCGTATAACCTTTTTTGAAAACTTGTTAAGTATTACTAATACGTACTTTATCACCATCTTTCAATGTTAATTTTGTTCCTTTTCCGAATATATAAATTTTTGTAAAATATTTTTTCATTAGCTACTGAAACATCTTTTGGCTTCACACCAATAGTTCGGTGGTTTCGATTATTGTAAGAAGTTATTAGCTGTTGTAAAAAATTAAGCCACTTGTAATTACCTCTTACACTAAACTTTTTCCACATAGCATGCTTTAGGGTACGATTAAATCGTTCACATATAAAGGCCTTAAGAAAACTGTACGTAGAGTATAAGTTAATTTAGAAATTTTTTATTAGACCATGAAAATTTGCGTTGTAAAACTCTTTACCACGATCGGTTTTGCAGATTACTTGGAACTCTTCCTTCCGTTATTATAATTTTCATAGCTGCAGTCACATGTATACCAATTTTATTTTTTATATACTTCAGCAGAGCTTTCCTCGTGTAAGATCTATCACTTGCTATTTTGCAGACGGATACACTTTTTGATACTCGTACCTTCGCAATTGAGCCATGGTAACAGGTCACTTTTATTTATACAACATATTGACTAAGCTCTTATTGGTCCGTCTGTCACATCTCACGCAACTGAAAGAGAGACTCCCTTTTCTAAATAGGCAATTGCATAATACAGTATAAACACCTTATAAATATGCTCATCATTAAGTTAATAATTTTACATATCATAACACGTACCCGCTTTTTATTCCAGCATAGGCATGTTCAAGAATGAATTCTACACCATGCTTTTGCTCTCTTATTATTGAAACGTATTAAATATCACCCTATATTGTAATTTTGTAAGCAAATCTACTAGCTTCAAATTTTTTATACCAAAAAGATCTGCTGGTAGAGGCTGCAGTCGTTAAGATGTTTTCAAGCAAGAGAGCAGATGTCCCCCACGATACTCATAGACCCGTTATCGAGAGTGCAACAGTGCCAATAGAAAACCCCAGATTTGACCAATTGTTAACTTTAAGATCTCGTCAACGATTTCCATTCAAGTGTGTGAGAGAGAACGTGATTGTGGGAATTTTATTGTGGACAAATCACTGTATATTTTTTCAGTTGTAGGACATTGAATTGGATCAAGTGAATCGTGTGTATCTGGAACTGATTACGGAGAGAAATACATGGAGGACATATTACTCATACTATACAGCTAAAAGCAATGTGAACCCATTGCACGTGATTTTATATATTAAAAAGGATACTTATACTCTTTTATGCTGCTGTAAACTTTCAAGGTACAGCGTGGAGGCCAGAATAAGATTTATCTTTTGAAACGGTAGGTTATTCAAACACATTGAAAGAATATAATCCTATTGCATGACACATCTGCTGCCATAAAATTTATCTTAGTGTGTAATAAACTGAAAGTGTTGTGAAAAAGGGTATTGAGTAGTAGTGCATGATAGTTTTTTCACCACTATACATAAGACTTTCTCTGACATTGTTTATTACTCTATCTCAATATAGCCTTACATAGTGAAATGGGAAATTTGACATCAGCATGCGTTACCGAGTCAGGCGTGTTTACTCACGTGGGAATAGATTTTTTTGGGCCAATGTACGTCAAAGAGAAGAAACTGCGGAATCGTAATCGCGTCAAGGTTTATGGTTGTTTGTTTGTATGTATGGCATCGAAAGCAGTAAATATCAAAATAGTGAGCGATTTAACCACCGAAGGATTTTTAGGCGCGTTTAAGCGTTTTTGCGGCCGACGCGGCATTTCCAAGCACTTTTTTTCGGACAACGGCACGAATTTTGTCGGAGCAAGTAATGATTTACAAGAAATGTTTGCTCTGTTTAACTCCGACCAGTTTCGTGACGATGCTGATCATTTCGCAGTCCAACGAAACATCATCTAACATCTTAATCCGTCGCTTTCACTACACTTTGGTGGGATTTGGGAGTCGGCAGTAAAATCGTTTATAAGATCTGTCAATTATCTACAACTTTTACATTGAAATTTTTTTTATACGATGAACAGATTTCAACTTATTAGCAAAAAAACGTTTTTTGGCCGTTACGCGCTACATAAATTAATATTTTAACAATAATAATTGGAATGGTACCATATTTTAAAAACATGTTTTTGACGTAAAATTTGACAGAGAATGCGATGAAACTACTAAAAACTTGATTCTTTTTGGGGGCGTTTGTTAAAAATCGGTTTTAACAATTAAATTGTTAATAACAATATAAATTTGTTAGTATTTTTTGTAAAAAAAATTTTTTTCTTAAAGTTTCATCCGTCAGCTACAAAAGTGCAATTGGTGATAATTTTGTAGCTCTTAAAGATTCGGAACTATGAATTTAAGAAAATAAGTCTCCGAGCCAAAAAACTTGCCATTCTCAAATGTTCGATCACTTCAATTATCGAAAATATGCAAAGAAAACAAAATTTCTCTGACACGCATCTCTTTTTTTTCGACATAAAATCCGTAAAAAAAGTTTCAGCCAAATCGAAGAGGTGTCGATCAGACAGGTGTTTAATTTGTAAAAAAATTACCCTTATGCAATAAATTAGTTCTTCATGAATCTATGTCAATTTTTTTCATTCGCGCTTTCTTATTACGGTGCCAATTGAAATTACTTTATCGTATTAACTGACTTCATTCGTTGGCTAGGTACTGCGGTGAAGAGGAGTAAGCCAAGCAATGTTGGGATACGCTTTCGGTTATGAAATTGTATACATGTTCTCTGGCAACACGCATCACTCGATACGCCTGCTCTAGAGAAAAAAATATGATGCTGGTACATTATACGCCTAAATAAGAAGCGAAGAGTTATCGGTCACGGCTTACACATACGTGTATCCTAGCATGACTCGTTGCACCCGCTCTTGCTATGAAAAAAATAATACACTGGTTCATTATACGCCTATTAATAAAAAGCGAAAAGTCATCGGCCACGGCTAACACATTCGTATAGATAAGAAATAATAGCTTCATTACATCGCAAGGTACTGCGTTGAGTAAGCCAACGTTGGTTGCAGCCAAACGGGACACGTGATCCGCTACATCCACTGATAAGAAATACATGTTTATGCTTGATCATCTTCCTCTCACGCTGTACGTTGGGCTTGTCACACCTACACCTTTAGGACCCATCCTGATGACGTTGGAGCTTGATTCGCGGTCGGAAAGGAAGGGAGCTGTCAATACCATCTGACATCACAGCATCCGGAAGAGACCCCCTTCCCCCCACGTTACCATCCGAGTATTCCGCACCACCCACTGCCCCTACCACCCATGCCCCTCCTCCCACCACCTGATCAGCCTCTCCCCCACCACCGCCTCTCCTCTACTGCCCGATCAGCCTCTCCCCCCACCACCGCCTCTCATTCACCGCCTCTTCTCCACCCAAAGCTTTAGCTAGAGCCTCTCCCCCCACCTCTTCCTCAGGGGGGGGAGCTGGGGGGGTGCCAGAACCCCTATGGTTTACCTACTTTTACCTGACTGGGATTACAATATACTATAAGAGAACTAACACAAAGTTTAACAGTCGTAGGCCTTAGTCATGTGGTTATTAAAATATACAAACTAAGCAATTTAATTTTTCAAACCACAATTAAAGATCAGACTTTCTAGTAACTGAACAAAAAAAAAAGAAAACTTTTTTANAAAGAAAACTTTTTTATTATATATTCAATTTGTTCTTTAATACACATCATTGATTTGCAGAAGTAGAAAGAAAAATAAGTTGTCAAAAATTTGCTTTAAACTAAGTCCACGTGCAGGAGAATAGATCTTAAAGAGTCGTTCTCATACATACTTTTACTCTACAACTTACAAAAGGCTATTATAAAATACCCTTAACAACACTGAACGGTTAAAGATAAAAAATTATTCAACTTATTGGGCACTAAACTTATATTTCTGCATGGTAGAGTAATAATGTGGAACATAATTACTTATAAACATAATACACTCATCTTATAAGTGACATTTATTTACTCTTATAATCAAAAGTAAAATGAAATCGTATGATAACGAACATCTTATGATTCTTTGATAACAAAAAGGGAAGAATCATTTGTATCAGTCATTTTCGTTTGATGTTAAGACTATTGAATTTTTGTAAAATTAATATTATTATTTTTTATATAAACATGATAAACAATATAATTGCTTATTAAATCTATTTAAATTCTACCTTACTTAGCACTATAAAAAAAGTTAAAGTTACCTAAATGTAGCTTGCAGTACGAATACGATTGTTTCGTAAATAAGTTAATTTTTTTCCTTATTGTCGTGACGCTGTGAATTAAAATTAATTTTTATTTTAAGTTTGTAATAAATGAACGTTCGGTTAGTATCTAATTTATAAGTTCGAACATTCTATTTTTATAAAGTCTTGTATTTAAATAAAAAAAAGTAAAAATTAAAACCAGAACCACATAAAAGCTTAAGAAAGAACCATATATTTTCTGTAAGATATTACGAAAACTGTGTTTTTTTTTACACCAAGACATCTGAAAAAAAAAATAAAAAACTGTTACTTAAACTTCTTACCAGTGGAGCTCGAATATTCAAAAACCATCATTATAACAGCAGAAATCGATTGACTAGCAAAGTTTTCAGCATCATCTTCTGCTTTTCTACCTTAAATTAAGCATTTTTATTATTAGTGAGACTATTTTCGTGTTTAAAAGATTATTTCTATTTTAATAAATATCAAATACTTTAATTTATTTACTTACATATTGTAAATGGGAAGACATAATAACACAAGTAGTTTATAATTTCAGTATGTAATTCAGTTGGCAACACTGCCATAGTGCCAGCCAGAAGGTACGGAATATTATTAATCAAATCATGATCCAAGAAAGGAAGTAAACATACTATACATTGCAAAAGAGCTTGACTAAACACTGAAACACAAAATACACAATTACTTTTTACCCCTAATTCGTTAAAGTAATTTAATACAAATAATGGAAGCTTATTGTTACGACAGGCGTGAAATTTTTTAGTCCATTGCCTGGAAACACAAGAAATACGATTTTGTCTTATTATTATCAGTAGAGAAGAAGTTAGTCTTTCCACTACGCAATTTTTCTAGGAATGCGGAAAAAATAGTTTTGCCTTAATTAAAAGTCGGCTTTATTTACATGTTTAACAATTTCTGAAAAAACGCTGAATTTTTGTTTAGTTTGTTCCTTATATCTTCGCTTTGAGGGTGCTTAAAGAAATTTTTTGACAAACCATCTCTTCGTTATTAAATTTTCTATAGAATAGACACTATTGCAAACTCATCGGATGTTGTTAATGACACGTCTATGTAAAAAAAGTGTAAAAAAAATTATTCACACTAAAAAACTTTCGGAGACAAAAAAAAAATAACATAAATATTTTGATAATTTGAACGTAACCACAAGAAAATATAAATATCCAATAGCAGAACTAATAGCTATTTTGAAAAGTGCAAAATGTTTGTATTTTTCTTTTTTTTTAATTTTTTTAAGAAAAACTAAAAGTGTTACTGTAAACCTAACGGTTAGTGTATTGACATCTGACTGTGGCTTAGACAGTATATTTCGTGTTGATTATGATAACAAATGAAAAAGTTTGATATTGTAAGTTCTGACGATTTGGCACCAAACATTTTATTTTGCAACTTAAGCCATTGCAAACGTCTCAGTCAATGTTGCATACTTTTTTTCTTTACAAATCACATTGAATATTTTAGAAGAATAGACGCACTTTGAAAGAAAAATAAAGTGAAATAAAGAAATTATATACCTTACTCTACAGCCAAGATACAAAAAATTGGCTATTATAAGTATGTATTTTTGTACAGCACTGCCAGAGGCCTTTTTAAATGTGATTAAAAGGGAAACTAAAAAGATTGAATAAGTTGCACTGGAACAGCTGAAGCAACTCAGCGCTCCCATCTTTACCCCTTTCTTGCTACTCGGTGACCAACTGGTTGCAGTGCGCATGGGACAAAGCCCGGACAACAGGTGGCTTTCAAATTTGAATAAGTTATTGTACATATCTATTAAGTTCCAAATAGAGAATGAAACATTGAACATACTAAGTTATTAAATCTCAACTGAGTATATCTTTATCGTATAACAGAAAAAAAGATAATACACTAGAAATAGAGACTTTAATTTTTGCAATGCAGTAGGCACTTGAGAAGGCTTGGTAGGTTTTGCGGCGGGAGTTGCAGGGGAGAGGAGCTGAATATTCTAAGATAGAATGAGATTACTTCTACCAACTTAAGATAAGAAAATTAAATTTAGTCAAAATATTCTGTTAAGAGCATATTTACGAATAAAAATCAGTATGAAAAAGCAATTTTATTCATTTAGTCTTGAAGATTTATAACTTCCACTCATTTTTTGTCAAATTATTATTAAACAGAGCTTAGAAATAATCAATTAAATGTGACAACACTGTAAGCATACCAACATTTTAATTATAGCATCGTCTGTATCTACAGCTGGAGTATAGCTCGTCTTTAGTTTAGATAAGTATATTCTAGTGGCAATAAAAAACCAAATAGTAACTTGAACATTAAGCGATGCCTCCAGGAAGAAGTCAATGGTAGGGTAGATTTGTGTCAGAGAAAGACCATAATTGGATGTAGAAACGTTCAGAGGTCAGGAGGTCTAATAAAAACAGTTTTACTATTGATACTCAGTGTAATAAGGTTACATTTAATGAAATTGTAAGGAGTGGACTGATCATACCAGTCGAAGGAGATCGCATTGTAAACATAGCTCACATGGCTTAAAATATGTTTTGTATTTTGTGTGAAAAAAAGTTTTTTTAACAAGACATAAGTGCTGAAAGAAAAAGAAAAATTAACTTCAATTTGTAACATTCAACGCAGTCAGTACCCACATTTACGATTCCAATTTCAAGAAGGTCTACTTTTACGAATTGGTAAATTCACGATGACCACAATTTTGTTAATAGGTATTGCCAAATAATTTCACACAAGTCTTTACAATTTTCGGTTCTGTGATCGATAACCATCAAGGAAATCGACATCGGAAAAAATTTGTTGTGCCGTTCATATACGTGCTTTTAACGTCGAAATAGGAAGTTTAGTACAGCGCAGACTTACGAACGGTTACTGATGATACAACTAAATTTGGAATTGACAACTGTTACCCAGACTGAATTATGGTGGACTTAAAATTTGGCATAATTAACGCACGTACAGCAATTCTTTCAGAAGTACTACTTGTAGGCTACCAGTTACCTACAATGATCCCAACGATAGGGAGGTCAAAGTTTTCGTGCACATGACTGCGGTTGTTCCCGTACGTGACGTGGTAGCAAGCTTTCAGCGGCTGAAGAATTAAGCACCAGCCTGCCTAAATAACTTCTTTGAATATTTTACGACAACATACGTAGATATAACTGCAGTTTCACAATAACCCAAATATAATATAAATTTATGGAATCAATATGAAAATGTACGAGATGACCTTGACATCACGAACAACGTGTCTAAAGAATGGCACAATCGCTTTCGAATAGTAGTTGCTAAGCATCATGCAGATTTATTCTCAGCACTGCAGTATTTTTGCAAAAAGCAGAGCGATACAAAAGTAAAATTGCTGGAACTGACTTAAGGAAAGTTGAGAATAGACTTCCCGAAAAAGAAATGGTACGACAGCAGGCAAAGATTATGTGTGACGGTAGAATTATATACAGAATATGCTGAACTTGGCACTGTACTTACTTAATTACCTCATTACTTTGTTTCATGTCTTCTCCGAATTGAACAATATATGACATGCAAAAAAAGGTTTCGTAAAACGAAACATTTGTAAGATCTACTCTATTCAGATTTCGTGAAAATGTGCAATCGTGAATCGGCCGTTTCATAAAAATGGATCTTCGGGAAATGGAATTTCTAAATATAAGTACGAATTGATGACATCACAACTTGCTTATAAATTCTGTTAAAAGCAGTAAAATAAGAAAAAGACCTGTGACAATTTACACATACAATTGTATCAATGCTAAATCAGTGATAGATAGAGTAGATAATTTATTTTTTAGATCCATTTGTAAAGATAAGAAATCTACATGTTAACCACTTTACTTCTTTTAGGAGCTACGCATACCGGATTCAGTCTGTCTCATCTAGATAAGTTCTTAAGTACAGTTGATGCTCCCTATTTTCAAGAAAACACTAACAAAAAATATGAAAGGACAATTGGATCAACTGTGGAGCTAGTCACACAAGTAAGTTGCATAGAAGCAGCTGACTTAGAAAAATTATTAACTATAAATAATCTGGAAAAACTGGAGAAGTTACTATAATAGAATAAAAGTGGGCTTTAAAGTTCATCTGCTTACCAAAATTAATTATGTTTCCAAGCTAATAAAAATTATTTAAAAATGTGTTAAGAGAAAGCTGCCAATTCCATACATTTTGCTGTAAAAATGTAAATATTTTTATTCATAGATTTTTTACATAAGTTTTTCTAATATACACTAATGTTTTCTTCGACAACTTTATTTTTTTGTATTCAATTTGAACGGACGTAATCAACTTTTTTTGTACTGCATAGTTTTATTATTATCATTGTATTTTAAGTAATAGCACAATTTATCATTGGTTTAATAGATTTATACTTTATACTCACATATACTGTGCTTCGATATTATTGACTGAGTTGAAAAGAATTCGAAAAAACCTGTATACATGCAAGCTAAAAAAAATAGATTTTATAAATATAATGTATGCCTAGTAATTTTTTTAAAATCCCCATTGTCTATGTTTTTATTTTGTAAACCCATAGAGTTGCAGGAAAGTTATTTGATTGTACAATCAGAATCACATGATCGAACGAAAAACAAAGTGGTAAGGATTTGTGTTTCGCAGGTATATCAAGCTAGCTTAACAAATTGATTTTTCCCACACCTGATATGCACCATAATTTGTCGCTAATTAATCGCTAATTAGTTGCCAAATAAAAAAATTTGTCGCTCTAGCCGTTTACCGAGAAATAGACGTAGTGCTACCTTGATATCAAGCTGGCACTACACATAGCGTATCTCGGCTCAGGAAGGGCGTAGGGAAACCACAAGGATACCAAAATTTGTCGCTAATTTGTCGCTGAAAGATGGTACCCTTCAATAATTCGTCGCTGGTCCAGCGCCCAGCAGCCCAGCAAAAAACGTGCGAGCGGGCTTCAAGCTGGCACTACACGTAGCGTATCTCGGCTCAGGAAGGGCGATTAATGACTAACTATAACTACACAAAATATTCTGATAAAAATTTGTGCTATGCCGTAAATAATATTTGTAAATTTCAATATGCTGAATTCAAGATTAGTTCAGGCTTACCCTTCACGAAATAGTCTTACAGAGAATTTGGTGGCATACTTATATGCCGTACCCAAATACCGTGGAAAGTTTTAGGGGGGGGAGAGTTTGGTTAAATTATACGAATGATTACGCTGGGAAAAGGGGGAGGGGGCGAGGAATTAAGTATACGTATGACAAAACACTCTTTATTTTTATTTTAAAACATGAGTTTTTGTTTTATTTTCATACAAAAGTTGAGATACAAATAATTTTTATTTTATTTGACGTCACTCTTCTGAAGCAAAGGGGGGTTAATTTCTGATTGATACAAAGTCATTGCAAGTTGGAGAGGAGGGGGGTGAAAATCAAAAAAATCGTCTACGGTATTTAGGTACGACTCTATCTTTGGTATCCTTGTGGTTTTCCTTCGCCCTTCCTGAGCCGAGATACGCCACGTGTAGTGCCAGCTTGAATCCCGCTCGGACGTTTTTTGCTGGGCGCTGGACCAGTGACGAATATTAAAGGGTACCATCTTTCAGCGACAAATTAGCGACAAATTTTGGTATCCTTGTAGTTTCCCTACGCCCTTCCT